TCCAAGATAAGAGAAAAGCATACAATTATTTTTTTAATTATTTTTTTAAGTTCCCGTAAAAAAAAAATCCCAACAGCTATATTTGTCTCATATTAGTTTTTTTAACATTTATTTTTTAGTTATAGGTGRTCACAGTATCTTTTTTATATATTTTATTTTTATGGGGTGCTGAGGATGGAACCCAGTGCCTCACGCACGCTAGGTGAGTGCCCTACCTCTGAGCCCCAGCCCCAGCCCCCATACTGGTTTTTCTAAATGTTAGTATTTATTACTTCTTAAGACTTGAGCCTTAATTCTTATGAGTTGCATTATCACCTTGTTTCTGGAAATGAGCTCMCTGCACAGAGGAACCCTGGGGAAGTGTACCTTTAATGGGATCAGCAAGGTCGTGAAACAAATATACAGCATCAGTTCCAACCCTGTGCACCSGCTCTCCCGGCCTTCCAGCCAGACTTTCCTGGGTCAGACAGGGGTTACCTCTGGAGGGAATTGCAAACTGAAAAGCCCTGCGGAAACGCCTAGAACAGGCTTCTGGAGGGGCAGGCTTATAGGAAACAGAACAAAATACTCACAAGGAGAAATTGGCTACAGGATGATCACTCTTGATGCTTTTTAGTGCTTCCAACCCCACTGTACCAATGGAATGTACCCTGCCTGAATTATAGCAGCTTTAAAAAAATCTCTTCCTCACTATCACCACATACATATGTCTGTGTGTATATATATATGTATGCACGACACCTAAAATTTAGCACCATGAATTCTCACTGCTGCTGCAAAACTGTGTTTCTTCTCAACCCTCTTGACGTACACCACATCTCAAAAAGGCTTTGGAAGTCTTCCAGAGCCTGGTTATGCTGTTGGGGGGGGGGTGCAAACCCACCTATCTCCCGTCTCCCTATAATTTCTTCAATAACTTCAGCGTGGAGTGACATTGGTTTACCAAGGAAAAGCTAACAGATTTTTTTCTATAAATAACTGGTTGGCAGTGCTGTGGTGACAATTTATATAATAGAACTCATGCTTAAATAATAAGGTAACAGCTTTGGACTGTGAATTTTTAAAATGTTTTATTGAAATGTAGACTGATTAGCAGGCAAGATTCTTCTTCTAATTATTTTAATTAGAGGCTCTTAATGACTAGAAGCCATAGAAATAAAAACACGTCAAAATTACATTTTTTAACGAAGAGGCACCTGGAAACCTTGACTTCTCCAACYCAAGTTGAGATGATCGATTGTTACCTGGAAACAATGCCTATGTGCAGAGAAGTTAGGGAGGAGTTCATTGGGGGGATAGAATTATTTATGGTCTGATTTTTCTATGAATGCAGGAAAGATAAAGAAGACCCGGCGTAACATAAAATGAGCAGTGGACTCAGTCAAGAGACTGATTTCCAGCTGTGTTAAACGGCTTGGCTGTGAGTCCACTTTACCTTTCTTGGTCTCCGTTTTTCACATGTCAAATTGTGGAAGATGAAATTCACGGACTTTGAACTTCCTGTTTTAATTCCATCACTCCATGATTTCTTTATTGTATTATAAAGAATAATAGCTGGGCCTGGTGGTCCACACCTGTAATACCAGCAGCTCAGTAGGCTGAGGCAGGAAGATCATGACTTCAAAGCCAGCCTCAGCAATTTAGCAAGATCCTAAGCAATTTAGCCAGACCTTGTCTCTAAATAACAAATAAAAAAGGGCTGAGGATGTGGCTCAGTGGTTGAGCACCCTTAGGCTCAATCCTCAGTACAAAATAATTAATAATAATAATAATAATAATAATCCTTGAGGGAAAATAGATTGAGCATATCTGTTATTAAATATTAACTTGTATGCACACATAGTAATAGGACTTCTCAGGGAATTTAGAAAACTAAATTGGACCTGTACCCATGTGCCCCACACTGTACTAGGTACCAGGTATTCGTAGGTGGGTGAGGCTGCAGGTATCCATTCCCTCATTCCTTTCCTAAGCAAGTACATATTTGCATATAACAGAGAAGCTTTCACTGATAAGGTAACCTGTGAAGCGCAATCTACAGAGAATGAGAGGTGAGCCATACAGATCACCTTGGGGGAAAGCATTTCTACAGAGAAAGAATAAGCCAAAGGCTCTGAGTTRGGAGGCGGTTGTTTTGTTCCAGGATTAGCCAGGAGGCCAGGAGGGCTAAAGCAAAGCAAGCTGGGAGCCAAGCAACCCGAGAAGGAGTCACGTAAGCCTAAAAAAGGTATCAGTTTTCAGCACAAGTTTGCATTTCTRCCTGTCTTCAGACATCATCTCTACACATATGTCTCCTCTGTCACTCTATCTCCTTTTTTTTTTTTTTTAAGGAATTCCTATTAGGGCCTTGCTGGGGTGGCTCACCTATTTTCTGTTTCCTAACTGACATTTCCTAGTTTTAATTTCTTTATCCTCCTAGGTTGCATTTTGGGTGAGTTTCTCAATAGCATTTTCCAATTCTTAGTTATCTGTTCGAATATGTCCAGTCTAGAGTTTACTGCTACAAGCCCCAGCCCTCCTTGTGATTTTTAATTCAGTGATTGTATTTTTTTTTTCTTCCCAGCATTTCCTGTTAGTTATTTTTTATACTTACTGGTCTTTGTTTCATCTGATTATTTTGTTTCAGAATTTCATGTTCTTTTTTTATGACAGCTAGTCCCCCCCACACACTCATCTCTTTGAATATCTTGGACATACCTATTTTCAGGACATTTTCTTGTTAATTTATTGTTTTCATCTCATCTGTAGGAGACATAACTCCTAGTTTAGTTTTTGGTTTGTGTGTAAGTGTGTTTGTTTGGGGGACTGAACTCAGGGACACTCTAGCACCGACAGCCCTTTTTATTATTTTATTTTGAAACAGTGTCTCACTAAATTGCTGAGGCTGACCTCTAACTTGCTATCCTCCTGCCSSAGCCTCCCTAGTGCTGGGATTACAGCCTCCTTCTGTCTTTCATCTGAGTTTTCTCCCTGTGGTTTGGAGTTCAGGGTAGGAGGCTCATTGTGACTAGAAAGTCTTATGGTTTCTCTCTCTGTGTTTCCCCAGACTACAATAATTTTGTGGTTGCTTTATCTTGGCCCCTCTGGTCCCAGGGTATAGTTTCAGCCTTTTGTTTAGTTTTGGGTTTTGTTTGTTTTTTCCTCTCTCTAGCAGTTTGGAAGCTCCTGTCCCTTGAAATTGAAAAGGATCCAGTTGTCAACCCAGCGGGCCCCTTGACCATGTCTCTCCTTCATTATTTCCCACATTTCGATATACCCAGATGCATCCTCTCAGAGCTCCAGGCCAGGATCCAGGGATCCTCTTTTCACTCTCCTTTTGTAGGTGGGAGTGTCTATACGAGTTCTAGCTCCACTCTAGCTCCACTCAGTGAGGCTGGCTGCATGTGCCCTGCCCTGTACTTAGGGCACATTGATCCCTGTTACCACACCAGACATTACCAGTTCACAGCCTGTGCCCGCGGCCACACCTAGTAGCCCGTGCTTCAACCTTGCTTATAATTTTGGGGTTTTGCTTTGTTTCAAGTCCTAAAGAGATTTAATTTAATTTTTTTGAGTATGGCCATTTTGTATTTAAGCTTCTTTTAAAATRTTTTTATCTCCATTGTTATGTGTTTGATATTTGGAGCCCAGGGACAGGGTGTGGACATAGYAGTGTGTACTTATATGCCATTTCTAATAGCAGTCTGTTCAGGAAGAATCCGAGTCACAAGATAGGCCTTATCTAAGGCACGTTGAGGCCCTGCCTGGCAGGGTAGTGTGCACCTAAAATATGAGTGACTCAGGAGGCCAAGGCAGGAGGATCTCAAGTATGAGGTYGGCTTCAGCAATTTAGTAAAACCCTGTTTCAAAAACTAAAAATGGGGATGTAGCTCAGTGGTGAAGTGTCCCTAGGYTCAATCCCTAGTATCAAAAATCAAGAAAGAATAAAAAAATAAAKAAAGAAAAAAAGGTAGCCCCTGAGTAAGCTAAGTGAAAGTGTAACCCCAGAACCAGAAAGAGGCAATTAATCTGGCAAGACAGAACCACAGAAGCTGGGACTTAGGGGACCCCAAAGCCAGAGTTARATGTCCCTGGCATGCATGTGGGGAACTGGCTGTACTTCTCTGATCAYACTCTCATCCCTTTGAAATTGCTTGAACCTTGCGTCTCTTGCTCACCTTGCACAGGGCCCAACGGACTAGGTACTCAACAATCAGTGTGTAATAAGTGAATAAGTATTGGGCAGATAAATTCAAGTGTGGGGGAAAAAAAACAACACATTGATTACAGAAACTGATAGAAACCCCTGTTCTTCTACCTTCTTCCCATCAACGCCTCCGAGTCCATCACAGTCTCAAAACCACACAACAAATGCTCCACTTGAAAGTTTCCCGCAGCGTGGCAGGCACCACAGACAGCTGTCTGTTTTTCAATTCTCTTCTCGTAAACCTCTCTGCAGTGCGCTCACATCCTTGGCTTTGGCGGCACCACACTGTCCTGTCCCGAAGGCTTTGTGACAGCTACTAGGTTGGACAGCTGAAGACACAGCACACAGGTTATAAGCAAGCCTTTGGCCAGGAGCCTGAACGGGGAGTGACCTGGCAAAACCTGTGCTTCAGAAAATCAGATGTGAACATGAGAGGCAGGGCAGACGGGAACTGGCCAGATTGGAGGCAGGGACAGGCTTCAAGACAAGTGCAGCTAACTCGGCCTCACAGGTCTGTCAGGGATCTGTCTTGCCCRTGAGGCATTTCCTGATCTACAGGTCTCCTTAGCACTCGGTTTGCTGCCTAGGATACCAGTCCCTCTTCCTAGGACCAGGCCCCTCTGACTGACACTTTRTATAATCTTGCCAGACCGGTGCTCTGGGACTAGTTCTTGTCTCTGACATCCCAGCCTGCTGTCTGGGATACAGGTGTATGTGAGGAAGTCTCCRAAGAATGGCCACCTCCCCACTCATCTCCCCTACATGCTCTCCCCCTGCTCCCCAGTGACTTCTCTCCCCCTCCCCCACACACATACACAGTACAACAGGCCTCAGTGCCAGCAGCCTATAGGCACAGAGACCAGGCAATGATTCAGGGCCATGGTTTGGTCTGGCATAAGACACTATGAGAGGGKCAGGGGGACAGGCCTGCCATAAATCCAAACCCCCCAGTGAATTCTGAAGTGAGGCCTGATTGGAGCTGGAGCAGSAGGCAAGTGATGTAAACTAGGTCTCAGGAGGAGGGTCCCCAAGATAGAAACTCCAGTAGCCATCCTGGAGCACAGGATGATGAGGGTAGGTGCAGCCAATGATGCACAAAGCTTGTTATTCAAATGGAGGCCTAGGCCAGGGCTGGACTCACAGTCGGCTGACCAGAAATTCCTACTCTCTGACGTCCAGATTGGTCATGAGAATGACGGCAAGGGCTTAGTTTATAGGTACATATATTCAAATGGCCCAGGTATTTGGATAGGGACATCGGAGTTAGGAAACCAGGCCTAGAGTAGAGAGTACCGTGTGTGTGTGTGTGTGTGTGTGTGTGTGTGTGTGTGTGTGTGTTCTATATATAACACACCAATGTAATTCATACAGAGTGAGTTATTTCTGTACATCGAACTGTTACAGGTACAAAGATTGTGACTCAGAATCTTCTCTCCCTACGGGTTCTTTCTGAGTCTAAAATCGTTGCCGTGTAGTACTCGTGTCCTTTTTCAAACTTCCTGAATTGCTTGAGAGCTTCTTTCCTAGGGRTTGTCTCTGACATCCAGCCTCCTCTCTGGGATACAACCTAGGGGTCGGCTGGGGACAGGACAGACCCCCTTTGAAGGCAGTAGTCAATAGACAACTCACATAAAATGATGACTTTTCTTCCACCAGCCGGTCTGGGTGGAAGCCCTGATTCACTGCACTCAAAATGTTTTCTTATTAATTCCATCGCYCCCTTCCTTCCTTCCTAAGTTGCGTTATCTAAGTCCTGGCCCCTTGAGTAACCCTTCTCCCTCTCTATTTCAGAGGCAGTGGAGTATCTTCCCGCACAACCTACACTGTTTGGAGTTGGGAAGAGAAGAAGAGTCTGGAACCCCAGGACTGGGTCCAGGAGACCCCCACACACATCAGGACACTCGCTCAAGGTGCTTGGCCGAAGGTGCCTGACCGTGTTTTTCTGTGGCTGATGCTACTCTTTCCCAACACTTTGGTGGAACTCAGGCATTTTATCCCATTGAGGTGATTGATCCATCATCTGGTTCAAATCCCTGCATTTCCTGAGTCGATGATACAAGTCATTAAAAAAGCAGGAGCTGGCTCTGCTACCAGGAACTGACAGGGATTTCATGTTCTTTTAGACTCATCTCATCCATCCGTGACCTCTGAGTCCAAAATCACTTCCACTCCTTCCTGGCTTTGAGTCTCACCTTTATTTTGCTTYGAATCAAAGTTGATTGGGTCATATACCCGCCTAGACAGTTTTCTTCTAGAAACTGGCTTATATRGGCTTGAAAGAGAGACAGACGTGTTCTCTGTCTCTCTCCCTTCTGCCTGCCCCCACCCTCCTTCCACTCTTTGCTCCGCATCGTRGTGGTTTGTACAGTGTGCTGTACACACTTGGGCTATTTCAGGAGATGCTATTCTTTCATCCCAAAATGGTTTGGTTGTTTGAGAAAGGCTAAAAGAGCTTTAAAAAAAAAAAAAGTGATTCATTGATTCCTCTTCCTCTGCTCCCTCCTGCCCATATACCACATGATCGGAATATACCAGAGGATCGTGTGCCAGATCCCGGGCCACTGTTTACAAACACCCAGGAGTAAATTCACTCCCTTTCTTGGGACTTGTGTCACCTAGGATGGAATTTTCAGTCTTTCCCCTTGCGGTGCTCAGCAGCCATTCATTCTACCKGTAATTAATGAACGACGAGCCCTTTATTGGAAACCTGGTGACTGGGACCTGCCTGACGTGGAACAAGTCCCCCAATAGCACCTGTGTGAGTGTCGTGTGGAGCACAGGACACGTGAGCTTTCCAGAGTGAACCTTCATGAAACTAGATCATTCCCTGCAGCTTCCCCGTTCACTCCTGTCCCTTGGTATCATCCGGGAGAAATGTTCTTGCCACTTGTCAGGGCTCCTCCTCTCTKMTCTCCTCTCCTCCTCTTGGCAATCGGTAAAACAGCTCCCCTTGGGTTTTGGAGTCTTTCCTGGGTGTTCTCTTATCTCTGATGACTCTTTATTCATCTCCGTGTTGTTGCACGCACACAAAACCCTTTAGAAGAGGCTGTGCAGTGGTTTCCTGCGGCTTCCTGTTGTGAGGGTTGGGGGCCTTTTCGGTTTGCTTTGTTCTTCAAGTGTTTGGGAACATGGCTGGTGGGATGGCTGAGGAGGCCAAGTGGGCCTGGCTGCCGCTCACCCGGCCTCTCCAGCGCCCTAGCCCGGCAGCTTGCCCTCTCTTTCCCGTCTGATTCGTTGGGCCATTGTCTCCCCACGGACATGGCCCTGGATCTCGTCCCCACAGGCCACCTGTGCTTCCCAAAATAAACAGGGGACAAATTCAACTGGAGTTGAGTGCCAGCTCCCATGGATGCCAGGCCCTACTGTAGGTGCTGGTGACACAGAGATAAAGAGGACTCGGTCCTAGAGACCTAGGTGCTGGAGGCCACCAGGGGACCATACACATGAAGATTCAACAGCTGTAATTYGGTCATTGGTGAGGGTGAGGACAGCTGTATGCATGGCACTAGAGGAGCACCCAGAGGACTCTCCAGTAAAAACAGGGGAAACAAAAGTTGAATTCTAGAAACACTGCTGGTAGGGTCCGACCACACGGATGTGTGTGTGGGAAGGCAGCTGGAGGGGCTGGGAGGACAGGGGCCTGGGGRACGTGCCATTCGGACTGCCTTGAGGATTGAACCATAGAGGATGATCATGCACCAGCCCTAGCAAGTAGGAATTTTCCAGCCAAATCAGGAAGGAAAGGCTGTCATTGGTAGAGGACAAATGGAATTGCAGGAGCACAGAGGCATGAGAGAGCGTGATGCTCAGGAACCCGTCAGGGTGACAGGGTGAGGGGCCTGCTGGGGTAAAGGGTTCTGTGGGTGGAGAAGCTGGGGCGGGCAGGGGAGAAGGGGAGGGTCCAGGGGAGAGCTGCCTGGGAACACCCAGGGAGGGTGGGTGTGAGGACCAGGTAGGTTTGGGGCTATTCCCTTCAAGTAGCCAGAAGATGTTCTAAAGAATGTGTTTTCAAACTTTTTGTTTACACCCACAATTTTTTTTTTCAGGGCAAATCAATACACACACATTGAAGATTCACTCTCACCTCATGATTCACCMTTATGCTGTCTGTTTCACCCTGTCCTATTTCTCCCCTTCCCGTTTCACCTTTTACAAATTCTGCTCATGACGATCTACCCTTATCTYGTGACCCAATGTGACATAGCTCCACGTATGAAACTGATCTAAAGGGTGAGTRTAAGTGGAGAAGGGAAACACACATTTGAATGATAAGGAGACTAGGCCCTGGTCAGGGAAAACAGAACAGGGCCCAAATTTCAGGATCTAGTTGGGGTACCAGGCAAGGATGTTTTTACCATGTGAAGAAAGGGATCCTGTTTTTACAACAATGGCTGGAGTGGGCTGGTTCACCTGAGGTGTGGAGCTTGGGAAGCTGGTGAAAGACTTTGCATGTTAAGTTTCAGAGGCAGTTAGAGGCATTGAGCAGTTTTAAGTAGGTGTATCAGTTAGCTAACGCTGAATAACAAAACATCCCCAAACTTAGAGATTTAACAAACTTGGATTATTTTTCGCTCCTGGTTGGCAAGGTAGTTCTGCTGCTCTGTGTTGGACTCACTGTGCATTTCCAGGCACCTGCAGCTCAGCTGGGACATTGCTTATCTATAGTGGCCTTGCCTAGGACAAATGGGCTCTCCTCCAAGGGCCTCCTTCACCCCTCCCATGCTAACGTGGGCCCACACTTGTCAAACTTGCTGGGGGTCCAAGAGAGGAAAAAGCTCGTAAGTGCCCTTTGAAGCCTCTGTTTGTGCCTGGTTTGTTATTATTCCACTGACCAAAGAAAGTCACATGCCTGAGTCTAGAATAAGCATGAGAAGGCACTCTCTGGGCCTGTGCTGCAGCTACAGAGTTCTGCCCTCCCAGTACCTAGGCGGCCACAGGCGGTCGGGATGTGACTGTGTCACAAGAGAAATTTAGGTATGGATGCTGAAATCTGAAATTTTTGTGTGCCAGAAAGCCTTTCTTTTTTTTATTTATTTTCAACCATTTCAAAAAAAAAATGTTAAAAACCATTTTCAGCTCATGAGCTGGACAAAAACAGTGTAGGTTGCATTTCCTTTGCAGATTGCTGCTAGAGTGCAGTCCCTCCACAGGAAAAGACCAAGTCAGGAGAACAGCATTCCTCCAGGGCAATTGTCACCCCAGGAGAGGAATGTTTCAGGCCAGAGTTGTTCCTGCCTCACAGAAACCCAACCACCAATACGGGGATTGAACCTAGGGATGCTCTACGACCAAGCTGCATTGCTAGCCCTTTTTAAATTTTATTTTGAGACAGGGTTTCCCTAAGTTACTGAGGCTGGCCTCAAATTGTGATCCTCCTGCCTCAGCCTCCCAAGTAGACGTGATTATAGACATGTGCCACCATGCCTGGCAAAGGAAATGACTTTTATGATGAGAACTTCAACTGAGTCAGGGGGGCTGGGAGATAGGAAAGGAAGGATTGCTACTAATACTTATTGGTGTCTCTGTGCAGTATACCTTGCGTATGATATTAACATTTTTCCAAATCATCTTAGATAGTTTTTATGGCCCCCAATTTGCTAGTGAGGAAACAGTATTTCAGAGTGGTTAATTAACTTGGCCAAGGCCACACAGCAAAATAAAAGCAGAGTTGTTTTTAAATCTAATGCCCTTTTCCCTCCAGGACTCTGGTATTATGGTCAGATGAGACTTTTGTGGCCTCCAACTCTCTGTGGGCTCTTGGGAGCACTTGTGTCCTGACCCAGAATRGCCAGACAATGGCAAAGTTTTCAAAAGACCAGATGTCCTCAAGTAAAACAGAAAGAGAACCAAGATATTCACTCAGATGCCCTCCCTGTCCAAGTGTTAGCCTTCTTTTCTTCAGATGATGGGCAAAGACTCCCAAGTAGATGAGGTTTCTTATTTCTCC